TCAGGTTAACAGTTTTGCCAGTCGTAACGCGACATTTTCAGGTGCACATGAACCCCAGCGTATAAGTACGTGAGTCTTAAATACTAAACAGCATCATCGTAGGCCTCGTCTGTCTGTCTGACAGGTTCTTGCTATTCTGTCTCATCATTTTTCTCTCATTTGTTACTCTTACTTTAACATGTTCTTTGAACGTAAGGTCTTCCATTAATTGTAATCTACAACCACATTCGTTTTCTTAGGCTTTATGGTATTTTTAAATAGGAAAGATATTAGTGTGGAAGGCTGTGATGGGAGGAACATGACTTATTTAAGAACACGCAGGAGAACAAAGAAATGCGTAAGAAGGGACGAAGAACTTAAGAAAAAGGTGAGGAAGGAAGAGTAATCTGAGAGAGGCACGGGAGAGGGGAGAGGGGGGGGGAGGCGAGGACTGCAATCAGAATGTTTTCGAGTCGGTCGGAGCCACGCAGTAAATTTGTTTTCTGTCGACTGAGGGTTTGCAATAAATTGTTGTTATTAAGCAAGGTTATTATTTTTTTTTTGGGTGGGGAGGGGAGAGGGAGGGTTCCTCGTAGTCTGTTGGTCAGGACCTGGCGACCTCCCTTCTCGTCCTCTACTTCAGTCAAATTAGTCGTGAAAGCACAATTTATTTCCTACAGTATTATTTATTGTGACCTTGACCTGGGTTACTGTATCCAGGTCCTTATGGACTGTGATCTTGTGAATTTTACATTTGTCTGTAATAGAAGTGAAAGTGATATTTAACGGTGTTAGTTATATTGATTTGATGTTGATATTCCTCCACAAAGCAACACAAACTATGTTGACCAGACCACAGACTAGAAGTTGAAGGGACGACGACGTTTCGGTCCGTCCTGGACCATTCTCAAGTCGATTGTGAATGATTGTGAATGGTGAATTCTCAAGTCACAATCGACTTGAGAATGGTCCAGGACGGACCGAAACGTCGTCGTCCCTTCAACTTCTAGTGTGTGGTCTGGTCCACATACTTCAGCCACGTTATTGTGACTCATCGCCTGCAACACAAACTATCATTTAATCGCATCGCGAGAAACAGCAGAGGCGCGACACTGGCAGGTGATGAGTCGCTGTAATTGGGGGTAATGCAGGTAACCTCATTCAGTCTGAAAAGGTCATCAAGTTCCTCGTTGCGTGAACCGGCGAAAGAAGATTGTTGCCGGGGAGAAAATTGTCGGGGTGTGGGCGGCGTAGGTGCTGCACTTAAATTATTACGTCAGGTGATAAATATTGTTTAAAATTGGCTGACCTAGAAGTATAGGGACGGGGGGGGGGGGAGGGTAGTTCTTGACTTCAGGTCAGTGGTCTACACAGCGACATTGATATGCTGTATGATGAGAGAATGCTGCTTGGCGAGGTGTAGTTGTATTAATGGGTGGGGGGAGGTGGGGGGGTTGGGAAGTGTACTCACCTGTTTGTGCTTGCAGAGGTTGAGCTTTGGCTCTTTGGTCCCGCCTCTCAACCGTCAATCTACTGGTGTACAGATTCCTGAGCTTCTCGAACTTTATAATATCTGCATTTGAAACTGTGTATGGAGTCAGCCTCCACCACATCACTTCCTACTGCATTCCATTTACTCTGACACTGAAAACGTTCTTTCTAATGTCTCTGTGGCTCATTTGGGTACTCAGCTTCCACCTGTGTCCACTTGTGCGTGTACCACCCGTGTTATATAATCTATCCTTGTTTATCATGTCAATTCCCCCGAGAATTTTGTATGTGGCGATCATGTCTCCCCGGGCTCTTCTGTCTTCCAGCGACGTGAGGTGCAGTTCCCTCAGCCTTTCCTCGTAACTCATGCCGCTTAGTTCTGGGACTAGCCTAGTGGCATTTCTCTGAACTTTTTCCAGCTTCGTCTTGGGCTTGACAAGGTCCGGGATCCATGCTTGGGCCGCATACTCCATCCAGGATTGGTTTTACATACGTGGTATACAAGGTTCTGAAAGATTCCATACACAGGTTTCTGAAGGCGGTTCTAATGTTAGCCAGCCTCGCATACGCCGCCAGTGTGTTGGCGCTGGGTGTAGGGATGTGGGTGGGGAAGTGGGGGTTGGGGAGTGGGTGGAAGTGGTGGGCGTAGGAGAGCAGAGAAGAGTTAGAGTGGTGGAGTATCAGTCATCCTGAGGGCCACAGCTAACACCATTAGTCTTGACTTGTGGCACGGCAAGGTGCCATTCTCTTCCCCACCTCTCCTTCCCCATATATATATATATATATATATATATATATATATATATATATATATATATATATATATATATATATATATATATATATATATATATTAGTATATTTTGGTAGCAGTCTTTCCTGTAGACATATATTATTAAATATGACCGAAAAAGTAAGATTAATAATTCTAACACGAATTTTCTCAATCTTTCGTACATTTCTTTTCACTGTTGGAGGTAATTCAAAAATCAATTCTCCAAAATTCATTGGAGAATTTTGAATTTTGAAAAAAAATTCAAAATAAAAAATGAATTTTGGAGAATTGATTTTTGAATTACCTCCAACAGTGAAAAGAAATGTACGAAAGATTGAGAAAATTCGTGTTAGAATTATTAATCTTACTTTTTCGGTCATATTTAATAATATATATATATATATATATATATATATATATATATATATATATATATATATATATAAGGCCGTATTGATGGGAGGTGGTGATAGTTGGGTGGAGAGTGCAGGGCGAGGGTTGTAATAGGATTTACAAGAGATAATGAAGCTTGCTAATTAAAGTTGGATTTACTGTTATTGCTCTTGTTATTGTTTATGAAGGCCACCTGGCAGGGTCCACCTTGCTGGCTACGCTGGACCAGGGCATGGCAGGGGTCGTAACAAACACTGGTGATGCAGCGAACTCAATAACAATTACCTATTGATTTTGACGCGTTAATTGCTGTTACGAAAGCTTGATTATATCTACTTTTTAATGTGAAAGTTTTGAATTATATGGAAAGCAAATTTCTGGATTATCACAAAGAATTTTGTAGGAAATTCCTATGGAAACTACACAAGAATATATATAAGACATTTTTAAGTGGTCTTAAAATAATTACTTGGCTTATGAAGGCAACGAGGACGTTCCTGCCGTAACGTTGGCATCCTTCACTTGGACAAGTCTGAGTTAAATACTCTAGATAAATAATAGAGAAGATAAACCTAGTTAAAAGGACAGACAGAAATATTGATCTTAAACTGGTAGGCTATATATATATATAGTACAATTAAATCACAAGAACATGTCATAATGTGTGTGAGATCAGATACGGAGGTCATACGATGCGGGAAGTGCCGAGATGCCGGTTCGAGCCCATGTAATAAACTCAGTATTTTCCCATTGGCTGTATATAATTGTTCTATTGTTGAGAAAATTATTTCGTTTGAGCACTGATGCTTTTTAACACCATTTTCAGTTTGCTTTTCCCCTGGGAGGGGGGGGACTATCCTGGACCGCCTGGCGGAAACACTGGACGATACTGAGTGTTGTTGTACTTACCAAGCTTTAATTTGGGCTCAGGTTGTCATACGTCGTCGTTAGCGACACTGTAGGTTGTAATGAATACATTCAGTCGGCCACACATCACCTTTATTTTTTTAATTATCTGCGTTAGGCTAGTGCTCTGAAATTTGTAAATAATAACATTGCGGTTATTTCATGTGTAGTAAAGCTTCATTTGCAAGCTTTAAGCTAATGAGTGCACTGACGTCATACTGACATCATGCCTGCCACACTGAAGCAGTGTAAATGGGAATATTTCATTGTATTCCGAGCAAGAGCAGCAAAAAATGCGTTTGTATTATTTGTTGGGCAATCAGATTCGTTCTTTTTCACCGATATAGGAAATCATGACTAGTTGTATTTCTACGAATGTTCAGAATGGTTGGTTATGAGTTTTAAAGGTCACACGCAAGCATTTGAGGAGTTACTAAACTGAATATGTTGTTTATGAAGAAAAGGTTGGAAACTGGTGATATAAAAAGTCAACACTGGGGGATGCATCACTGGATACACATCTCTACAACTTTACACAGATAACACGATTTTCTCTATGCTTTCTCTACGTGTTTATTGTGCCTACTGCATTTGTAGGAATGTATTCTAGTGTGGCACAGCCCTGTTACTAGAAAAGTACTTAATATATATATATATATATATATATATATATATATATATATATATATATATATATATATATATATATATATATATATTAAATAGTATTTATGAAGTACTTAACCTCCACTTCATAAATGCTATTTAATTCCGTTGTTTCTGATTGCATCGTTAATAACCTGCAAATTAAAAAATTGCGATATTCTGTATTGTATTTCTTCAAGATCCTAAATACTTCACGTATATTTCCTCTGATTCCAAGTTTGTTTATGGATTCAGGTTAAAATTTGTATAAGCCTTTCCTCTCTGGGTGCGGTTCTCAAACCAGAAGTTATGACAAAATGTTCAGTGTGTAGTTTTGTCTTACGAGGTGTAGTTTATGAGCCGGTCTAAATTATTTTGTTTAATCTGAGACTAGGGTTCATTAGGGCGTTCAGTTGAAGTATCTAGTGAAACTGCAAGCAAGAGCTGTTATCCTACCTCTGCTCATCCGAAGCATGCCCCTAATTTTTTTTAAGTATGATCTTTATTTAAATCATATAATTAAATCATATAATCATAAATCATACTTTAAACAATCATATAAGGAACAGGATGAGCTTGCAGTCAACTGTGTGCCAGAGGCTTCACATGATCAGTTAACCTGAGCTCCCGTGTATTAACCTGTTGAGCGAACAAGTTCCTGATATGAGTCAGTCTAGGAATTGATGACCACTGATGGAGTGATGTTCTTGAGAACGGCATTTCCAGCATATGTGGCTGTTGATGGCCAAGAGCATTGTATCCCGGGTCTCAACTACTTGTCTATGAAGCCATGGGCGGTGGACAAGCGATCATGGCTTCACAAAATCGTATGTGAAGCCATGTAAAGTGGCTTGCAAAAGTGGCTGAATTTGTGTAAGTGGCTGGCAAAATGGTTGTAAAGTCAAGAATGTTTCTTTAAGATTTTATACCGGCTTAACCACTAGTAATTGCTACATTCAAGTCTCATATGAAGGCATTTACAGACTCTGAAAAGCCTGAAAGCACTAGTGTAAACAAATAATCATTTATTTGTTCAGATGTGACACCTATAGAATGGGGGGAGCACAATAGGTCCAGGAGCCAGTGCGACGTAGTGGTTACCAGGATCAGATTGGATCACCCTGTAGCAGGTGGCTGCAGGTGACGAATCTCCCAGTCATGGGCACTCAAGTGTTCAAACTTTGTGAGCAGGAACTTGGTCATGGTCTCCCACACACACACTACATTACTGATTGTCTAGTCAGTTGCCGGAATGAGGTGGCCTGGAGATTTGCAATTAATTCACTCACTCGTGTTTTTTGAGGATATCCTCATTGCACATCCAAAGTTTGCAAGCTGCAGATCACGTGGCCCCTGTATGATGAACATATGTTAATTACAAAACTAGAGGAATCGTTAACATGTCAAGTTGTTTTGTTCTTGTTAAAGATTCGCTACCAGGAACAAGAAGGTCCAAGTAGCACGGGCTATGGTGAGCCCGTAATGGAGTTATGTCAGTTGTTTAATAAAAGGCAGAGTCTGCGCACTCCTGGCGGCTGTTCCTGGAAACACAAAAAGTGAATCAATCGGTTTGTTGTTTTATTTTAATGTGCATGTCGCCATTTACAAAGATAATTCTAGGAAGAAAGGATTGAAAAGATGGTGCTAGTGAAGAAGACGGAGATGATGCCGGTGTGAGCGAAGATAAAGATGATGCCGGTGTGAGCGAAGATAAAGATGATGCTGGTGTGAGCGAAGATAAAGATGATGCTGGTGTGAGCGAAGATAAAGATGATGCTGGTGTGAGCGAAGATAAAGATGATGCTGGTGTGAGCGAAGATAAAGATGATGCTGGTGTGAGCGAAGATAAAGATGATGCTAGTGTGAGCGAAGATGGTGCTAGTGAAGAAGATGGAGATGATGATGCTGGTATCAGCGAAGATGGTGCTAGTGAAGAAGATGGAGATGATGATGATGGTATCAGCGAAGATGGTGCTAGTGAAGAAGATGGAGATGATGATGATGCTGGTATCAGCGAAGATGGTGCTAGTGAAGAAGATGGAGATGATGCTGGTATCAGCGAAGATGGTGCTAGTGAAGAAGATGGAGATGATGATGATGGTATCAGCGAAGATGATGCTAGTGAAGAAGATGGAGATGATGATGGTATCAGCGAAGATGGTGCTAGTGAAGAAGATGGAGATGATGCCGGTGTGAGCGAAGATGGTGCTAGTGAAGGCGGCGATAATAAAGGGAACCTTCCTGCTCGCAGGTCTTGTGCTTGTAGTGGTCGCTTCCTCAGAACTAGGTATTTATTTGGCTTTAAATGAGCCGTGTGGCGGCAATTTGTGGAGAACGTGAGATGTGCAGCGGCGGCAAGTTGGTGGGGGCATGGGGGTGGCAGCCAGGGTGTGTTGGTGGGGGCATGGGGGTGGGAGCCAGGGTGTGTTGGTGGGGGCATGGGGGTGGCAGCCAGGGTGTGTTGGTGGGGACATGGGGGTGGCAGCCAGGGTGTGTTGGTGGGGGCATGGGGGTGGCAGCCAGGGTGTGTTGGTGGGGGCATGGGGGTGGCAGCCAGGGTGTGTTGGTGGGGGCATGGGGGTGGCAGCCAGGGTGTGTTGGTGGGGGCATGGGGGTGGGAGCCAGGGTGTGTTGGTGGGGGCATGGGGGTGGCAGCCAGGGTGTGTTGGTGGGGACATGGGGTGGCAGCCAGGGTGTGTTGGTGGGGGCATGGGGGTGGCAGCCACGATGAGCCACTGAGACACCCGCTAAAGCGTCCCTGGGACACTATATCAATATGCAAGTCTGTAACAATGGGCGCACTGTTACACGTCTTCTGGAATTAATAAACCAAAGTCCTGAGTTTTCAGCAGGTGGGAGATCTTTGTAATTGGGCTGTTTGTACTTTGTAATTTCTTTTGGAAAGTTATAATGAAGTGTTGGCGGTGCCTCCTGGAAGACAATGGACGCACCCCAAGATTGGATGCATATAGGCAGAGGAACCTGGGGCTAGATTCACGAAGAAGTTACGCAAACACTTACGAACCTCAACATCTTTTCTCAATCTTTGGCGGCTTTGTTTACAATTATTAAACAGTTAATGAGCTCCGAAGCACCAGGAGGCTGTTTATAACAATAACAACAGTTGATTGGCAAGTTTTCATGCTTGTAAACTGTTTAATAAATGTAACCAAAGCCGTCAAAGATTGAGGAAAGATGTACACGTTCGTAAGGACTTGCGTAACTACTTCGTGAATCTGGCGCCTGGGTATTGCTGGAAAAACTGGATGTGTTCAAGAAACAAATCGTTTCTGCAAGAAATGCCGGATCAACTGAGTTGTTGTGGATATGTGGGTCTGCGGGTGGCTCCAAGCAACAGCCTGGTGGACCAAGTTATCACAAGTCAAGCCTGGCCTCAGGCCGGGCTTGGGGAGACGAAGAACTCTGAGAACCCCTCCCAGGTATCGTGCCCCTCCCAGGTATCGTGCCCCTCCCAGGTATCGTGCCCCTCCCAGGTATCGTGCCCCTCCCAGGTATCGTGCCCCTCCCAGGTATCGTGCCCCTCCCAGGTATCGTGCCCCTCCCAGGTATCGTGCCCCTCCCAGGTATCGTGCCCCCCCCAGGTATCGTGCCCCCCCCAGGTATCGTGCCCCCCCAGGTATCGTGCCCCTCCCAGGTATCGTGCCCCTCCCAGGTATCGTGCCCCTCCCAGGTATCGTGCCCCTCCCAGGTATCGTGCCCCTCCCAGGTATCGTGCCCCTCCCAGGTATCGTGCCCCCCCAGGTATCGTGCCCCCCCAGGTATCGTGCCCCTCCCAGGTATCGTGCCCCTCCCAGGTATCGTGCCCCCCCCAGGTATCGTGCCCCTCCCAGGTATCGTGCCCCTCCCAGGTATCGTGCCCCCCCCCCAGGTATCGTGCCCCCCCCCAGGTATCGTGCCCCTCCCAGGTATCGTGCCCCTCCCAGGTATCGTGCCCCCCCCAGGTATCGTGCCCCCCCCAGGTATCGTGCCCCTCCCAGGTATCGTGCCCCTCCCAGGTATCGTGCCCCCCCCAGGTATCGTGCCCCTCCCAGGTATCGTGCCCCTCCCAGGTATCGTGCCCCCCCAGGTATCGTGCCCCTCCCAGGTATCGTGCCCCCCCCCAGGTATCGTGCCCCCCCCAGGTATCGTGCCCCTCCCAGGTATCGTGCCCTTGTTGTAGTAACAAGGTGTTGAATAAGAAAAATAATTTCAAATATAGTTTTATTTATTCTATGTGCAAACTTGCTGACGTGCTCACCTAATGGTACTCGAGTACTTGTGTTTACTGGGTCGAACGAATGTTCCCTATCCCCACCTTCCCAGCTATTGATCAGTTATAATGCAATGACTCTCATTCCGCCTGTTTCTCGTCGTACTTCCTAATGCGTAATCATACGCATCTGCGTATGATTTTGTTTATATTATTCTTAACCCGTTACATTTACCTGTGAATATTACACTGAGGAGTCATCTGCAACATCGCCTCTTTCTCTTAATATTTGTGTGTCCCGGTACATATTATGGCGAGAAAATGTTACGTTTTCTACGGTTAGCCAACCTGCTTGGTTAATACTTCCATGTAGTGACAGAGGAAATGTTAATGTTTATCTCTCAGAATGTTCCGTAATACGTTTATTGTTTGTGATGTGTGTCTATGTATGTATTAACACGATGTACTGAACGGGGTGAGAATAGCTTGAGCAACCTCATCCCTTTGTGTGTGTATTTTACCTCAGTAAACTTATTTCTATTTCAATTCAATTTCAATGTAGTGACATCCTCCCAAATCAGCAACACCGCCCCCGTTAGTGAGCCTTTTGTTGTGGTCCTCTGGCACCACTGTCCTCCCATACTACCTCCATGGTCTCCAGAGGTGTGTGGGGGGAGGACAGACAAGAGCCACAGTCAGTCGGGCACGGGAGACATCTCCCGTCACGCAGGGTGCCGTTGCACCTCCACAGATCTCCAGTATCAGCTCTTGATACTGGAAATGGCTCCAAAGGGCCACCACTTACGGGCTATCCATGCCCGTGCCACCTTTTGGGTGGCTTCATCTTCATCAATCAATCAATCAGTCGACTCAGTTTTGCAATTGCATGCATTGTGTGCATGCATTAGAGACGGCATCACTCCCACTTTGCAGGTTGGTGTGGTGAGTGAGTGGTACAGAGGGGCATACATGGCAACGCTTCTCTAGAAGGTGTGGCGTCCTAGGTCTCCTGGTCCTTCTCTTTCTGTACTTATATTCCCTCTCCCCTACTTGTAATGCTCTTTATTTGGTGCTATGAACGTTGTTGTCGTCCAAGTCCTCGTTTCTTCTTGGCTTGATCCTTCCCCCTCGTGCTTCACTTGTCCCCCCTCCCCCCTGCCCCCCCCTGCTCACACCACCCGCTAAGTTAATAAAGTGGTCTAAGTGAGAATTATTTACTGTGGTAGTGTGCTGGTGTGACTTGCTCAGGTGAGTAGGGCGTGAGACAAGCGTAGAGAAAGGGAGGGAGGGAGAGATGGAAGGAAGGGTGTAATGAGGATAGAAGAAGTGAGAGTGGGATAGGGAGGGGTCAAGGAAGAGAGACAGAGAGAGGGAGAGGGAAAGAAAGTAGTGGGGGGGGGATGGAACTATCAGGAGAAAGCGCCAAGCCATTACGACTATATAGCATTTGGAAGGGGTCAGGATAAGGATTTGGGATGTGACCGGGGGGGGGGGTGAGGAATGGTGCCCAACCACTTGGACGGTCAGGGATTGAACGCCGACTTGCAGGAATTGAGGCCGTTGCTCTACACACGCGCGCACACATCCCCAGGAGCTTTCTGGTGTGTGGAAAAAAAAAAGTAGTTAGTAAACAGTTGATTGACAGTTGAGAGGCGGGCCGAAAGAAGGGTGCCTGCTCCGTGAATCTGGCCCCAGGTACCGAGTGTACTCTCACCGTGGATATAAACGTATCAGTCCAGTATGCTTGGGAAGGTCGAGAGGCAGCAGCAGCATCATACACGATCCTTCTCTTCCATCTTGTGCCTTCCTGTTTGTCTGTATTCCCTTCCACGACAGATGGCCCTATCACATCCCTCACCAAATGCGGCACGGTACTGTTCCATCTTGATAGATCTTGTTGTGCTCTCACCGTCTCCATAGAGGGAGAGGGAGAGACGGGTGCCATGCCGTAAGAAGCCATGACATAGCAGCATGGCTGTTATCGTGCTGGCCTAACACACTTGTGTGGCAGGTAACTTCACCTGTACTTGCTCTGTGGTAGTGACGACAACCACAGAATTGGGTTGAGTGCTTAAGACTCTCACTGTCCCTGCACTGCTGGTGGGTTACCTTCGGTAGAGGACTTGTCCTTATAAATATCCTAGAATTATTAAGTACAAGTGAAAGCGGCCCGTGGAGCAGCAGCATGAGGGGAGATCTCATTCTGATTGGCCTTTGAATACGAGTTTTGTTTTTACTGTGATTTAGTGGAGGGTGGCAGCAGTATAGAAGCACAGAGAGGCCGAGAGCAAGTTTCTGGAGGTGTGTTGCGTTATATTGTGTTGATACAGACTTTGTTGCGTTGTGTTGATACAGACTTTGTGTTGTTAGGCGCCTGATCCGTGGGGTTTTATCTCCCGTCTCGACACAAGCCTGTCGGACGTCACTCGTTTGCCAAGTGGCTGACTTAACTGGCCCGCCTTCTACCGTGTTTCCTTCCTGTTGCCTGAAGTATGGGTCTGAGAGAGAGTTGTTCTCTCTCTCTCTCTCTCTCTCTCTCTCTCTCTCTCTCTCTCTCTCTCTCTCTCTCTCTCTCTCTCTCTCTCTCTCTCTCTCTCATCTCTCTCTCTCTCTCTCTCTCTCTCTCTCTCTCTCTCCTCTCTCTCTCTCTCTCTCCTCTCTCTCTCTCTCTCTCTCTCTC